GACAGATTAACATCACTACTAGTGAGTAGAATGTCATCTATTCACAGGATGTGAAAAATGAATTTTCCACTCTTGAACTTCATATGAACGCTATTGTCCTTCTCATTTTCTTTAAAACCCAAACTTTCTTATTATTGTTTCATCAACTTCAAATACTACTGTATGGAGACTTACTTTTGACCCATAAATGGATTTCTACAGGCAACATCCTATATGTTTTTTTCTTCCATGACAAAAATCTTTTGGGTTATGCCATGTAAACGTTTTCATATAAATCCCCGTTTAGAATGTCGTCTTTACATCCATCTGATGTATTTCTAAATCGTAATGTGCCATGAACACCATTATGATTCTAAAAGAGTCCTTACATGAGACTAGAGAGAAAACTCTCATTGTAATCTTTTCATTCTCTTTGCGTAAAGCATATTGCTACAAGTTATGTTTTATATCTTTCTACATTCCCTTTGGAGTCACAATTTATCTTGTAGACCCATTAGCAGCCTACTATTTTAGCTCCATTAGGAATTACTTCTAAGTCCTAAACATCGTTGGTATCCATCGAATTTATTTCAGCTTCCATAGCTTCTTGTCACTTAAACGAGTAAACTCTTCTCATGACTTTCTTCAAATGAGGTGGGATCACCCTCCATTTCAATTTTTTTTACTAACATAAACTTCATAGTCATCAGAAAACTGGTTTACTAATTCTTTGAGACCTTCTGGGGCCTCAGCTACTGGCACTTTTATATGGGGCTGTTGTTGCTCTTCATTGCCAAGAGACACTTGATTCTATAGGCTCCTGTATAACAAGATCCTTATTTACATTATTCATCTTCTTCGAAGAGCTAACAACATGTGTTGTATTGGTCATGCAACATCAATAGGTATTGAGAAACTTGTTGCCCTGAGTCACTGGAGTGGGCACACAATACCTCTTCTCATCAAGTCTTAGGTCTCTACATACCTCTATATATCATGCTCCCCCAGATCTTTTCATATTTTCTAAAGATAGTGTATCTTCAAATATCTTATTTTGGATTTAATCTGTTAAAATCTCATATGACGCTTTAAGCACCACATTAACATCTTTGAGACTGACTACGCTATTTTCCTGTCGGAACTTTAAAAAGTCCAGGAATTTAGCTATTTCTCTGCTTAGGGGTATCATTGTTGTAACCGTTGTACTCCTCCAACGGTTACATTCATCTTAATTAATCTTTATCTCACTCTTAATGAAGAGTATATTTCTTAATTGATCTTTATATTTTTCTCCCCCTCGAAATATGGCATGAACTTTACTGCCATAATTTTGATAACTATTTAGAAAGTCTGTAAACGAGGAGACACTTATAACTTACTTCATTCACATGATTGTGTCATGTAAACAAAGTTATTTCTTGATCCGTTTAGGAGTACACTTTTCTTAATTCACTTTAAGAACTCAATGAGGTCTTTCATTAGCGATACTTTTGTAAGTCACACGTACATCTTTTCTTATCTTTTGGTTAGTATTGATCATGACTATGTATTTCTATTGTGCCAAGGTCAATACTAGGACAGCATAAGAGCTACCCAAACTTCTCTCGCTATGCGGGATACAATACATGTGAATCATCACAAAACTTCTCCCTTCATGCTAGATGGACTAGCATATTTACTATGCCAAAACTTCTCCTCATACGGGATACATCTTTACGAAAACTTAGTCACGACGACTAAAACATTCACTTATACTTTATTTTCCAATTAAATATTCCCGTTGATTTCAATTTAATCAGAAAATTAATAAACTAACAAAAAAAATTGTCTTGAACTGGCTTGACTCAAACATTTTCATTCACATACCCCAGCATTGCAGCCCATTGGCATGCAGCCGAGTACACTCGTCGGTTAAAATAAAACATACAATATGCTTCTGCATCAATTCTACATCACCGATGGGCAGAAAATAGAATTAATGCATAAATCTCAAAAATCAACTTGAAATCCATATAACTACTCTTCAAAATTAAATTCTCCCGTTGATTCGAATTTAATTTGAAGATAATCAACTTCATTGCAGCGGAAAACTTAATAATGGAATACATTTTTTTAGTTCAGGAGCATTTCTTGGTCCTTATCAACTCTCTGAAAAATTCACCACGTTGGTGTAAAAATTTTCAGAGATTTAAACTTCAAACTTAAATCCGTTATAATATTGTCATCATCAACGTTGGTCAGAAAATGGTAATACCATAATCTTACTTAAACAAAAACCGACTACTCCTCTAATTAAATTTTTTCGTTGGTTCCAATTTAATTAGATGATCAACATAATCATAATTTACTAAACATTACTGCTCTTTAAATTAAATTCTCCCGTTGGTTCGAATTTAATTGGAAGATAATAAACATTAAGCTTTGCAGCAAAAACTTAAAACATAATTGGTAAATTTTACCCACAGAAAAATTTCTTTTGCTAATTTTCTTGAGCCATTAATCAATTTCTAGAAAATAAACATTTACTGGAAAAAGAAAAAGGAAAAACTGACTCATTTCTCTTACTGTCTTCGGCCCAACCGGCAAAGTGGCCCACAACCCACGACCGCGCGCGCGCTCTCCCGCGCGCTCCCCCGCTCCCAGGCCGCAACCTGGGCCTCGGCCGGGAAAGTGGCCCGACGCTCACGCCTGCCTAGGCCGAAAGCCGGCCCGGCCGTTCGCAGCCGCTCGATCAAGATCGAAGGCTCAGCTTCTTTTTCGCGCGAACAAAAATCAGTAGCGCAGCCGGCTCCCCCAAACCCTAGCTCAGTCTCACTCTTCACCGTCCCTTCTTCTCTCTTCACTTTCCCCCCGCACCCGTGTGAGATGCGGCGGTGGCCGCCCGTGATGGCCTGAGGGAGATGGAGGCGCCGTCGTTCGCGGCAGCGAGATCTCGCTCCCCCCACGCGGCTAGCCCCCTTTAACCCTAGCCCCACTCTCCTCCCTCCCCTTCTCTCACATCAGCGCGCAGCGACCGAGAGCGAGAGCGTAGTGGAGTATGGCGCCGTCGCCGGCCCCTCGCCAGTGCGCGAGCTCCCCAACGGGTGAGCGCGCCGCCGTCGAGGGGCCTAGCTGCGGCGCCCTTGGCTAGAGCCCGCGCAAGACCAACGAGTAGCCACCCCTCTCGGCCTTCTTCTCTCGCGCCGGCGAGGCGGCAGCGCGGTGCACGGCGAGGTAGGCCTCTTCCCCTTTTCCCCTTCTTCTTCTCCGCCTGGATCTTGCTTCGTTCTTCTCGGATTTGTTCGATTTGAGGATTACGGTTAGGGTCACTTCTCTCTCGATTTATTTTCTATTTTTTATCCCAAACTAGGTCTACACCCTAGAAAACCTTGCTCTGGTACCATTGATAATGATATAAGATCATTAGGAGCATAGATCTAGCCGGTAGAATAGTTCTATTCGGGATAAAAGACGTAGCGCACCCTAATACATGTAGAACTAGAGAGACAGAGAGGGAAGGGAGAGAGGTGAGATGTCACTGGTCATCGGAGGGTTGGTCGACGGTGACGCGGCGTCGTAGTCGAACGCCGTGCAGTGGAGGCGCGGTCCAGTGGCGATGCAGAGGCGACGGTGAAGTCGGTGGCGGCTTCCCGTCGCTGGCAGCACCGTCTCTCTTGATCGGTTAGCGTTAAGGTTTCTCTGGTGGGGACGGTTGCGGCGGCTCAGGACAACCTCATAGATAAGAGCCCTGGCCCCCACCTCCCTTTATGGTGCTGTGCGACGGGGGCTCACTAACCAAGGAGTGGTTGGACGCTCCCGATGAGGACGTTGATCAAGGGTCCAAGATCAACTTAACAGGATCATCTCAAGACAGGTCGGTGAGGAGAGGGACGGGCCGGCCAAGGTCGCCTGCCTGAACACACAGAGTCACGTTCTCGAACTGGACACCCAATCGATTTGCTATCTCATTTCCCAGCTCAGTCAGACTTCTCCCATCGAACCGCATCTGTGTCCACTGCCCGTGCTCGATGCGTCCGTTATCACCAAACTAAGCATGACTGAAAATGATAGTGACCAACTCCAGGCAGCCTTCGGGCCATCGCTGTTTCAATGAAATTGCAAGATGTAGGTGACAGACGAATAGAAAAAACAACTCAAGCATAGTAGTGTAATAATTTTGGCATAGATGGCACGAATATCAGTCCCCAGAAACATGACTAGTTTCGTCAGCAAACATTTCAACAATCAACCAGACATTAAGCAATGATCTGAAATAAGAAAGAATCTGGAGCTCAGGAGAACATAATAGTATGTCAGAGAGTTGATCCGCAGAAATGCGCTGAAAGATTCAGCAAGTACAACAGGGAACGAACAAATCGTGCAAGAATTGAGCACAACAGGCAGCGGTTTGTTTGCAGAATTAGGTTAGTCACGATGGTGTATTGATGATGGTTTCTATCCTTACTGAATGATTTGTTACGTAGGTAAAACGCTGACATGGCAACGTAATTAATGAAGAAAGAGAGCAAAAATCATAGAAATAGTTTTCTCATGAAGAAATCAGGTCTACTCTTGACCTAATGTACCAAGAAACCATGAAATCGCTATTGGGGAGAAACCACCAGTTTCTAGAGAGCTCGTGTCGCACTCCCATGAAAGAAAGAAGATAGAGTTGAGAAAGAGAAAGAAAAAACTAATTATTACTCATAGAAACCATGAGTTGAAAAACAGTATTTTTTTTATACGGTACCCATGTCTATTGCCTTAGGAGAGAAAGCCCAAGCAATAACTTCGACAGGCGCTACTACCAAGGAAATCCGCAAACAAGAGTTCACGAAACAGCATTGTGGAAGAATCAGCTAACTGATCGCAACAAGATTTCACGAGACAGGCGCTACCAATGTTTAATCGCTCCCATGTCCCAAGTCCCAACCGAACCCAACCCGCAGAAGCACCAAAGAACTGTGCAAGAAAGGAGGCGAGCTGTGAGCTTACGATTGCAGCGTTTGGTGGCCGCGGCTGGTACGGTGGCCTCTCCGCCGTCAGGGGGATGACCTGGACCTCCCCCTCCAGCATGGAGCTGATGCGCACCCGTAGGTGACGCCCTTGTTCCACCGCAGGTACCGCCCGTTCGCCCGGAGCGCACACGGGCCGCCGTCCGTGGCGCGGAGGAGCACGACGCTGCCGCGCTTCCCCCTGGTGACCGACCATTCGATGCGGTGGTCGTCCAGAAACTCGAGGTTGCACTGCGCGACGTAGCCGCCGATGTGCCCGGATCGCGCTGCGCTGCCCGTGGCGGAGAGGTACCGGCCGTAGGCGCCGCGGAGGAGGACGCGCGCGGTGAGGACCTGCACGACCCACGCCGTGTTGACCATGTGGCGGCGGTGGTCGATGGAGACGCCCCGCCCGTCCTCGTTGGCGAAGAGGTACCCGCCGCGGCCGCGGTTGCGGAGGCGCACGTACTGCCCGTCTTCGAAGGGCGCGACCTGCTGCGTCTCGGCGGGCGCGTTGCTTGACGACGCGCCGACGGCGCCGGCGGCCGAGGCGCTGGCGCCCTCGTACACTCCGCGCGCGGGGGCGTGGGCCTTCGACGACGTCGCCGGGCGCCACTCCTCGTCGCTGTCTGACTCGATGCCGAAGAGCTCCTTGGCCGACACCCACATGGCTTCAGAGCTAGTAACGGCGGTGCTTTTGCCTTTGTCCATGGCGCGGTGGTGGGAGGAGGGGGCGGAGGGCTCCAGCGAGAGAGCAATGGAGGCAGGGTGGCGTTGCTGCGGCGGTTATCCCTGTGTCGCCAATGACAGCTGTTTAAATTGGCCGCTGGCACAACGGGAACGACGTACCAGAGTCCAACGTGGCGAGCCCGGTCTCTGGTGTGTGGGGCCCCGGTGGAAGTAAGATGGTATCGTGGTGTGGCCGCGGTGTAGCTCGCCGGTCGCCGCACAGGCGCACAAGTCCGGCCGTCCCGGCGGTCTTCTAGGCGAAGCGCTGTCAATTCTCGCGCAGGCGGCAGCGCCCCAGGACCAGGAGGCCAGGCCCAGGATGCCGTGGAGCCGGTGGTGGCGTGGAGCTGCGGACGGTGTTTGGGGACGGGCAGCATCAGGCCTTGCCCGGAGCCGCGGAGGCGGAACCGTGGTCGAGGGCTTGACCTCGACGGATGCGGAGCTTGGAAGGGGAAGCCGCGGACCGCGGTCGTAGGAATGTCTTGATTGGAACTCTGGATGTGGCCGTGGTCGGCAATGGGGCAGGCACACGGATCGCGGGTCGCAGCGGCGTTCGGCGTTCGGCGTTCCTGGGACGGTCGTTCCGGATCGCGGGTCGGGAACGGTGCGGTACGGACGCCAGGTCGATGCTTGGGAGTTGGGACGACGTCCCAAAGCACACCGGATCGGCGGATCGATGGGATGAACGGCGGCGGCAGCAACCGGTGATGCAGTGAAGCTGCGGACTGCGGCCGCTGGCCGCTCAGCGAAGCTGCTGAGTGGTAGCGCGCCGCTGGAGCTGGAGCTACGCAGCGACGCGGCGCTGGAAGCCTGGAACTGGAGCTGGAGCTGGGTGGCGGCACGACGCTGAAGCCGACGATGCGCGGCGGGTGCGTTTCATCCTCCGCGTGCGACTGAGCCAGTTCGACTCTTGGGGACCTAATGCAATAATCAAATGGGACTGAGCCCAGACGTTGCAGGCTAGAATGAAACCGAGCCCAGACCCTGCACGGAGAAAAAGGCACCCCCAAAAAAAACTCAAGCTTAAGTCCTGATTTACAATAGCAGAGTAAACTAATACTGTAATAAGAAATTGTACCGATTATCCGAGGACCATGATTCTTGTTCAATCGCTACGTTCTATATACGTCATCTTAATTATTCATGGATCACGTTCTCTTTCTCAAATCAATCGTCCTAAAGAGATGTCCCCAACAAATTGAGAACTTAAAATTGTCAGATGCACGTCTCACGTACCCGTTCATCATAAACTTTGTGAGTGAACTCAAATACTTTCAAATACAAATACATATAACCACAAAATTCCTCGAATGATACTTCAGATATGATATGAGTAGATATCAATGTTGATATCAATATATATCTACATTTGAGTATCTAGATCCCGGTATTAAATATCCAGATTCGGACACGATCGGACAATTGGTTGGAAAATTTAAGTATCTAGGACGATCATGATACTAAATATCTCCAAAAATTAATGCTCATAGCAAGCAAGTCAAAATTTGTCAACGATCGTAGACAAGAGCGGCCGTTTGTACAGATGGTCAAACGACATTACAGAACAGGAGCATATCAATAGCACGACATTACAGAACCGGAACATGTCAATAGCTTGGGTGTGTGGTTTAAGAAATGAGTTAGTCCATCATTTTGTCACTCCTTATTTTTCTTGTTTGATTTTGATTTATGAAATGAAATAGGTTAATTCATCATCATCTTATTCCTTACAACCTAATAATTAATACTAGCCACCGGTGCCCGCGCTTCGCTGCGGTGACTCTTTTTGATATATTCTATTTGGATCTTTTTTTTAATGCGAACAGACTTGCCCCTCCGATTCTATCATTAAAGGCATTTGTATCTCTTATCAAAAAATTATTTATCATTTTTATGTACCTATGACAATTTGTAATGCATTTTGTTTTCTTAGTTTTAATGACCATATATAATTTTTATTTAGCTTAAATTTAGGATAAATTTTTAGTTCATATTCATATTTAACAAAATATTTTTAAAACTTATTTTTCCTTGTTGTTCCTCAAATTAACGGTCATGCATGACTATGTGATAATCAATTAGAGCCTTGCTTCGACTATATGAACATAATTTATCAATAAGAGGACCCTAGAAGTTCTTATTTATAGTTCACTTATGATCAAGCAACAATGTTAGGATTTGCGGTATCCAACATCTCTAGATATTTAACACTACAACAAAGGCATGATGTCATGAGTATTAGATTAGGTTAATCAAGCATATCTAATTTGTTGTGTTGTTTTTTGCTAGTGGCATTTGTCCATGACCCGTAATTGTGCAATTAGCCATATTAATAATCACTAAAAAGTCGCAATTATGTTTATTCAAGGAGGCAACTGCATGCATGTCTTTTATTTGTTGTGAGTGGCCACCTAATCTATTATATTTTTTGGTACCACGTGCATTTAGTATGGGACGTGAAAAATCAAGAGACTGAGCATGTCTACATATACCCATTTTGGTGGTAGTGTACCCAGTGGACATACATCTACTACGCCATACATACATGTACAACATGGCCCCACAATGGATAAGGCCATGCTGTCCTACCTCCCAAGGGTGCCCTGATGCACTTTCCCCTTTCTTGTATCCCAGTGATCGTTTCCAAACGCAGATTTGTTCTCTACATTCTGTCTAAAAGAGATTTTACTTTTTGCTTAACAACTTTGCCCAAACTTACCCCTTTCTAGAAAAATGAATTTTATTCTGGCCGTTGCAAAAATCATGCATTTAACGAATCTACAAAGGTAGTCTCTGGCTGGCACAAGCAACTTCTCAAAAGGCTCTAAAAACCTCAACTCAAGTAGCAACTAAGCACTAATTAAGCCCATTAGAAAATGGCCACCCATCTTTGGGGGAAGACCTTCGTTATATTGCTGCACTCCTCTAGCATACGACATGCCCATTTCAAATCTCGGCCTGTGATTCTCCTTTTGGAGGGTGGACGAGTAGCTTGTCTCATAGGTAGCCCTGAAAATAGCATAAATAAGAAAGGGTGTCTTTTTTTTCAAAAAAAAAATCCTCTGACACTACCAAATAGACCATCGCCCTGTTTGTTTTGGCTGGTTTGGCTTATAAGTCATGGCTGAAAGTACTGTTGGCTGGTTTGGTGTGGAAAAAAATACTATTCGTTGGCTGATAAGCCATGACTTATAAACCAGATACGAGCAAACGAATAGGCTGCATATTACTCCATTCGCTCCCACACAAAATTGAGAGCACTTTAATCAAAATGAATGAATGGCGAATGAAGTAGATTAGTCTACATTGCCATATTGGTCCTTAGTTCAGTCCCAACCCATAAGCCATATACTGGTTTTCATAGCTGCCACATAAGCAAGAAATTACCTAAAGAAACTATAGCTCACAGTGCATTGTTTGGTACGTGGACACTTAATAAAATTCAACCAATCCATTCTTTTGTTTTCTCCTTTCCCAATCTTCTCTCTCCTCCCTATACCCATTTTCTTCTCCCGATTTAGAAAGATCCAAGCTGACTGGTCCTCTTCTCATCCGTGGCCTGACAGGGAGCAGCGGATGGCCACCAGCCAGTGGGCAGTGCATGTGAGCGGGTGGGTGGCGGGCCTGGCCCGGGCGGCATGGCGGCGCATCATGAGTGGGCCAACACGTCGGCAGGGCTCATGAGGACGGAAGGAGACGGGTGAGCGGAAGTGGGCAGTGTGGCTTGTGACGATGCTGCGCGAGCAGAGTGTGACAGTGGCAGTGTGAGGTGGGGCCTCACTGAGGCAAGCTCGGCCAAGCATGGCGGGCTAGCGGCGCGTGGCTCACTCACCGAGACATGGCGGGGGGCGCCGGGAACACGGTGAGGTGGGATGTAGAGCCAGCCGGGCGGCGCTTATGAGGATGCCACAGGTGGCGCGGCCAAGCAGCGCTAGCCATGGGGGGTCAGCGGCGATGCGGACCAAGCCAGGGTTGTAGAAACAAGTAGTTTCTTCCCAACACGAAAGCTGCAGTTTCTTGGCTTCTTGGTTGTAGGGCGGAGGGCTGATGTGGTTCCTCAGGGAAACCATTTTCTTCTATTTCCACGTTAACTTCGCCGTACTCTTGGTAAAAGGGGGCCGACAGTTGAGGTCGCAATATTTGGGACAAACGTTGCAAGTCAAGATGCTTCATTTCAATACAAAGTTAACTCTGTGTTGTTGTTCTGTGGCTCGATGTTATGGTTATGCACAATTTTGGTACCAAAAGCGTGTGAAGAGAACATATTCATGTGAAGGAGGCCATGTTTATTTTCATGTCTAAACACAACCTTCCATGGGAAGCAAGGTACGCCAAAGAAGGCAAAGGAGGTGGAGGGGTGCTTCGGAACAAAGGCAAGGTCATGTTTTTATAGGCAAGAGGAGAATCTTGGAATTCACTGTTAGCAGGAACACGATAAATAAGAACTAGACATGGCCTAAAAAATCAAAGTACAAGAAATTAGTGTGACATGACTTGGTATTGCAGTACATGGCATTGTGTAGATTCATGAAAATGCATTGGACAAACACAACCTTCCATTTATCTACTGTGTAGTGAAAGTGAAATATCATCCTGGCTTAATGAGACTGTCCTCCCGATTATTTCCACGGTTCTCAGTTCACTGAAAGCAACATCGTATTGTAATGTGACAACATATAGATATATGCAGTTATTATGAGAGTTACCATATGGGTTCAAATCTCATTAGTCCACATTGTTCCATGATGTGCAAATAAATTGATTGTACCAACTAAACTCTCAGGAACAATGATCAATGTTCAAAAATACCAAAGATAATAATTGAACGCTTGATGAGTTTTTCATGCTATAATGCTTCATTTATACAAAGAAAAGATCATATGAGTGACAAATATAATACTCGCTCCATGTTCCTTGCAAATGATGCATCAATATTATGAGAAGACGTAAAATTGTAGCATGAAGGGTCAATATCATGAACA